CGTGTTGCGTCTGCGCTTCTCCCACCAATGTCGTTCATAGCAAAACATCTGTCTGTGGTCTGGGAACAAATTTGTAATTTACAAATTGATATAAATAAAGTTGTTGTTTTTATGCAATTACGAAACAACAATGACTCAAGCGTATCTTATCTAACTTAAAGTTCATCGTAGTACACTCGTCATTATCGTTTACTGCTAAGTAAATATTTATTAGGGAAAGGTCAAATAAGTACATGAAAGTCTTGTCAATTAAAGCGTGGCAGCCCGAAGGTCACAAACAAGTTCCAAATAAGCGACCTCGTATCGTGGCACAACAGCAAATCGTTTAGATGCAAGGTCCGCTGACGAGTAATAAACTTGTGCGGTAATCACCAACATTCACCTTTACCAATTTAATTTCTATCTTTTTTCGACAAGCGGTAATTTAATATTTATTATTGCTCATCGGAACTAACTCTATTAACGCTAAACTAAATTCATACCGCTTCTTATTTATAACAATTCAATATTTATTACTTACTTGCAGTCACTTTTATAATACGTCGAATTTCATTATTTATCACTTCGTTGATTATATATTCATATTAAACAAAATTCAATTTGCTTATATAGAAAACAATAGATCTTCTTGAGAAATCAAGAAACCACATTCTATTTCACAGAAAAAACATCACATCCGTTTTTATTCAATATCGCCGGTGTCTAATCCTGTATCGACTTGATGGCGCCCTGACATCGCTCTAGAAAATTCACTACACTTCTCGCAACACGAATGACGCCGGTTGTATTCTTTGATGACTCTCGTTCTATCTAGTTATTTCTCGGTAGTTGCATGATGACACTCTCGTGTGTCTTCTATTTTCGAAAAAGAAGCAATTAACTGCAGTTCTACGAAATGGTTAAGGGTGTAATCCAGTACTACAACATTTATGCGAAAATAGTGCGATTTATATTTCGTCTCAATTCTGTAAAACATGAGATGAAAGACGGGGCTAATTTTTTTCACTTATAATTGCACAAGAGGTTTGTATTTTACCGAGTAAATTTGGGTTGTTTAGGTAATGAAAATCTGTTGCCTAGCAATTAGACGAGAAAAACTGTCAACTAATAAAAATGCGACACCGCAGGTGGAGCATTTTTAGGTTGACAGTTTTTCGAGTCCAATTGCTAAAAGGAAACAGATTTGAATTGCCACAACCCAAATTTATTCGGTTTAAATACAAACCTCGAGTGTAATTCGGCAGGACAATTTAACGAACAAGAAATTCACCAAACTAATCAATTATTGACAGACGTCAAACTAGTCATATGGGTAAGGATAATGCGATTATTGGTTCGAAAATGAATAAGTGAAAAAACCACTAGTGCATTTGTCGCTGGAAAAGTTGCAGGTAACTTTTGCCGCTGTCAAAGTGACAATTACACTGCGGCTTATGTGATTTTTTATACATGAGTTGAATTGTCGTGTAAATTATACATTTAAAAAGTATGCTACAGAACAAAATTTTAATATTTAAGAAAAAACAATTTTTTAGAGCACTGCCAATAAAAAGTGAACTTTTATAGGTAAAATGGCGTCAACACAAATTATTTTAAAAATCTCCCTGTAGCATACTCAGAAAAAACATTAGCAAACCATAGAGCCATCGACCAAACTTTCAAATAAATTACAAAAAATTTTAGACGAAATATTAATTCGAAATTTTTTACGAAAACTTGTAGCGTTTAGTGAAGTCTTTCACCATTTATAAATGTACAGTAGGCAACACATTATACGGCAAGCCTGACTTCATTAGCGACGTTGTTGCGTTTATCGGGACTAATTTACAAATAGAAACCGGATTCATTAGAACGTATTATAATTCCATAATATACTGGGTAATACAATTCACACGGAAAATGTGATTTATTTTTGGGTAAATTAAAAGTTATGTCTTTTCTGACGTTTTTTGTAACACCCCTAAAATTTTAGTGTGATACAGATTTGAAATTATACCCATGTAGCATCTTTCGGAAAAAGATATAGTTTGCGAAAAAAGCGTTAGTTCTCATTTATTTTGTGTTGTTCCCGAATTAGACGAAATTTTGAAACACCCCTAAAATTTTAGTTTGATACAGATTTGAAATTATTCCCATGTAGCATCCTTCGGAAAGAGACATAGTTTGCGAAAAAAGCGTTAGTTCTCATTTATTTTGTGTTGTTCCCGAATTAGACGAAATTTTGAAACACCCCTAAAATTTTAGTGTGATACAAATTTGAGATTATTTCCCTGTAGCATCCTTCGGAAAGAGACATAGTTTGCGAAAAAAGCGTTAGTCCTCATTTATCTTGTGTTGTTCCCGAATTAGACGAAATTTTGAAAAACCCCTACTAATAAATGTTTGGGATTTGGATATGCATTTTTTAAATATATCTAATTGTAGGTACTTATTCGCTTACATGCGTTATTTTCCAGATAGTCAATATAGTTCATGATCATGAAGTAACTATACTGGGTTTAAAAAAATATATACGTCTTATGAATAACTGGGAAAAGTGAAATTATTGAGGATTAGCCGCTGTGACAATGATTTGCGTTTTCTAATCGATTTTTAATTATATATGCATATTCGTCACAATGGCTAATGACCTAGGTAAATTAGCGTAATTACTTGTTTACTTTATACCAGGGGTCGGCAATCTGCGGCTCTTTTGATATAAAGTTGCGGCTCTCCGTATTTATCTAAAGAAATTACTTCATTTGTTCGAAATTCGCCTTTTTAATTAATCTTATTTGTTTACCAAATCAAAAGTACACTTGCAGCAAATAATTATCTAATTTGTGACACCTGTTTACCTTTACTTTCTTGTATTCTTTTGTTTTTTTATTACAGCAGCCTACTCATCCGATGTATAAACACGTAATTAATTAATGAGTAGGTACTTTTGTGAAAAATATTGAATAACATAAAAACTGCGGGGTTTAAGCACAGGGCACCCCTTATAAACATTGAAGAGAACGCAAAAGACAATCGAATAGCGAAATAAAACAGTAGTAGTTCCATTTGAAAAAGAATAGTTATAGCAGTTTGAACAAATGGCATTGAAACAAGTAAAAATATGCAGGATGTTCTATTTAAAAAGATCAGTTATTTATTGACATCGTAAAAATGGGACACCCTGTACATGCAAAAATAATTTCTGTAGATCCGCAACCACCAATATTTTTTACCAGGTATCAGCTATGTAGGAAAAACCGACGCATTGTTGCAGGACCCTGTATATAGCCAAATACTATAATATTAAATCAAAATTTTTTTGTGGCTCTTTCAAAACTGGGAAATTTTATAAGTTGTAATTTTTGGCTCTTCTGTTTCAATAGATTGCTGACCCCTGCTTATGCTTTATACAATGGTTGATGGGCAGGTAAATTCTTCAATCTGTGTTTATTCGTTACGATTTCATTACAAGTAAGTATTATGCAACCCATCATACGTCAATCAGAAATAAATTTTAAGTGGAATACACCCTTAAGGGGTTCATTTAGCACTAAACCAACAGACCGATATATTTCCACCCCGCCGGTACCTACCTTGGAACACTACGTTTAGCATATTGCGCACGATGCGCCAGTCTCATATACCTATAAAAGCCACATTCGATATTTGGAATTGCGAACTTTATCTAACGCCATGAATTTGGTAGCGCTTTCCAACAATACTGACGAATTTGGATATGACGGAATTTAATAGGAAACAATTCTTTGGAGTAAGTACTTAGATATTGGACACGATCAACTTTTTGGACGATAATGTGAAGGCACTTGGCTTGGGTTCACATTTAAAACCTATAACTTTTTTTAAGGATCTGAATCTGATACCTACCACAATTTCCATAGGACTCTTGATGTAGGAGCTACAAGGACAAGGACAAAAACCGTGACGAGAGAGATGGATAGAGGTAGGGTCTGTATACTCTGTAACTGGAATGGCATCGAAATCCAAAATCGCGTGCCGCCGTTGAGTGAAACACTCAACGGTGCCGCCTAACGTAGGCTGTGGTAGGTATCCTCTTGTCTGGCACGTCATTTGTATAATAATCCTTCTGGCAGGGTGTTTTGTAAAACGCATAAACGCCACGTGGGTGGTTACGGAGTATTTAGTTATGTAGTACAATGGGTAGGTGTCTCATTCACGTTGTTTTAGGCGATTTGCAAAACAACGTGCTAGACAAGGATTATTATAGGTACAAATAACGTGCCAGACAAGCATGAGGTGAGAATACCCATATATATAATGAGAATACCTACCTCAGCCTACGTTAGGCGGGTTTTGCAAGGAATAGCCATTCATTTTATCAAATTTCATCGATATCAGTTTAGGGGTGCACCATCTTGGAGTAGGGATTCTAGATTTTTTTTACAAAAGTTTTGAATATCAATATAACGGGCGATCAACTCATTTTTGATCGCATAGTATGATCCAAGCTTCTACCTTGTTCGTTACCTAGGTGTATGTAGTGTTGCCTATGGATTGGAAACCTTAATTAGTATTGTATTTTTTCCCAAAGCTTTTTCCAACAGGAGCTTGCATAGAATAGATATAGATTCATTCAAAGATTAAACAACTAACTGATTTATATAATTGTTGCAGTTATTTTTGTATAGTTACATTATTAATGTTAGTAGATCTAATTTATTGATGCATCTTTGCTTAGTTATGTCCAAAAGTATGGAAAAGTTTAAGGCCTGATTAAAAACCAGCTTTGCCCAATCTAGGTCCTTTGGTTACATCCATTATATGCACTTATTATTATAATGGAAATGAATGCCGAGAGCTGCCGGCCCATAAGACAATTGGTCCTCCTGCAGTGGGGGTCGGGCATGTCCTTACTTAAGCCACTGACCCATCTTGCTTGTATTGTATATCATATCACCTGCCTAAACATTTTATATATCATTGTGTTCCTCTTTGTAAATAAAAGAAAAATTCAAGGAACCTTTTGCTTATAAAGATAAAAATGCAAATCAATCTTTTATTGTCTATACATTCAGATTTACATTCCACACATTTAATATTCCTTGTTCCCCTCCTGTCATAAGTAGATTGTGCTGTAAAATTATCATTACAGATGAGATTGTAAACACAAAATTTACTTACGTATTGATTAAAAACACTACATCGAACCCTTTGCCTGTTCTCTTTCAATGTACCAAATGATTCCAGTTTTTTGTTACTTGTAGACATACATTTCAAGTGTTCTCCATCATTCCAATTAGAACCAGCTAAAATAAGTAGCTCGTTCCCCAGTAACCTGTGAGCACCTGCTACATAGCAATGTGCTTCCGATTTGCGCTAAGCAATTACATATCAATGTTTTGAACTACACAGACACTCGTTAAAATACCTTCATTGCTTTGGTAATATCACTTCTTCGAAAATGTGCATAAGGCTCTGCATCGTCAGGAGACCACAGCTGAACATCAGCAGTGTGAGTAATACAACTAATAAAATCTTTGCCCTTGTTACTATACCAGCATAATTGTTCAACCGAAGATTCTGTGTTAAATGAATCCATTAAAGCATCATCTTCATTAGTATGTTTAACATCGTACACATTAATTAAGCCATCTACAGAACCTGACATCAATTTATCAGCATCATTTGGATCAAAGACAACTTGAGTAACATCATCAGTATGCGATTCCCAATAACCACCCATCAAAGTTGTGTTTCTAATATCCCAAAACAATATAAAGGCTTCACCCTTATAAAGTTCAGTCCCTGCAGTTAAGAGACGATTATTCGCAGATGCATTAAAACAAGCTAATGTTTTAAGATCATTTGACGAGCCCTCTTCTTTCTTTTCTAGAATTAAAACATCTAAAAGCACTTGGCGTTTAAATTTAAAACACACCTGTGAATTGAACGACAAACTTTTGAGGCGTTCTCAAATCCCACAGCTGAATATTACCAAGAGATGTAGCAATATACATCAAATCGTTACTTTCTGGACTAAATTGCACTCCTATGATCGGATGCTCAAAATTTTCTAAAGTCTCCAATTTGGCGAGCCGGTTTTCGCCTAAACGAAAAATCTCGCAAGAATTATTCGATGTGCCGATAAGGATATTGCAGCTGGCATCACTAGAACGCTGTGTTTATTAAAAATGAGTCCACTCTACACGTGCATGAGGTGCATACGATGTCGCTGATAAATGTAGAATGTAAGAATCATCTTTTCGGTTAATTTCCTTCTCCGTGACTAAGGGGCAGGCATTTATAGAACTGACCGCTTCATCTTCATTTGAGTCACTGTCATAGTCCTCCAAGTTTAGTTCCGAGGAATTTTTATGGTCCATTATTTATAAATGCAACACTAGCAGTACCCAGCCATACAAATGAAAATTAGAAAAGTGAGGTTATAATTAATAATTATAAAAATTATACATGTGATTTGTGATACATGTTGGAGGGGACGATAGGTTTGTCCATTGAGTTAGAAAACTAATGGAGGGAATATAATGGTAGAGGGGGTAAGAATTTTTGTAGACGGAAGTTGCCACAGATAGAGGCCACTCGCGTGGATAGGTTCCCGTGAAGGTACATTTTGGCCGACATTATTTGACATATGAAAACGCGGGTCCTGTCACTGTCAGTTTTCCACCAAATTCAAATTTTATTAAATTTGCCATTTTAAAGTACCTAATAATGTCGGATCGGTTTGTGCTCTGGTTTATAACTAACTGCCGCCATAGAGTAAATAATTATTTACTCTATGCTGTCGCATAGTGTTTTTATCACACGCAATTTTGTGAATTGAGAATGATTAGCTGCGTATTGTGGAGACCCGCAGTGGATGCGGATCGGAACGAGAAAGAAGAGTAGGCGTTTGTCATTAGATAGAGAACTGTCATGGAACTGTCTATGAGTTAGATGTGTTTGTTGGAGTTGAAATAAAAAGCGTATTTTCAAATAGTGGTGTTTTACTGGGTTATTACATTGGCGACGAGGATTAAAAAGAAACTTATTTCGGTAAGAAAAGAAAAGGGGGAACATAATTATGTTCCTAATACAAATCGGTTGCAAAGTCAAACCGAAGAGGGACCGTTAAATCGGACACAGAGGGCGCGCACTAAACTGCGCACAAAGAGTGACCGTTAAATCGGACCAAAAGGGCGCGCACTAAACTGCGCACAAAGAGGGACCGTTAAATCGGACCAAAAGGGCGCGCACTAAACTGCGCACAAAGAGTGACCGTTAAATCGGATCAAAAGGGCGCGCACTAAACTGCGCACATAGAGCGTCTGTTCAATCGGACTCAAAGGGGCGCACTAAACTGCGCACATCGGGCGTCCGTTAGATCGGACACAGAAACGGATAATCCGTTACGCAAGCAAAGTGAGTAAAAGAAACGTCACTGTGACAAGATTAAATAAGTATTATACAATAGGTTTTTTTTTAAAAAAAAAGCACCTTGAAATGGAGTATTGTAACATAAAACCGTTCCTTTGTGACAATATAGACAAGGCTCTGTTACGTACAGAATGGGAGAAATGGTTGCGATCGGTTAAATTGTATTTTGAGGCGGAAGAAATAGTACATCCTAAGAAAAAAACGCAGTAAGTTACTGCATTTTTGAGATATAGGACGTGGCATATAATCTTCCCAGGGCCATCGAAGAATACGACGAACAACAGAAAAATGACGTTTTTGGAGTATTAGTGAAAAAGTTAAACGATCATTTTTCTCCGGAACAGAATTCGACTTTTTAAACGTCACGTGTTTAGCTCCATTAAAACGGAAGGTGGAGAAACCTTTACTAAATTCTTGTTAAGAGTAAGACGACAATCGTCAAAATGTGCATTTGGGACTTCCAAAATCGAAGCCATAGATATCAACTTAAAAGACAAGTTGATCGACTCAGGGGCACCGGTGGAACTGAAGAAGAAATTATTGGAGAAAGAGAGGTGTCTAGATGAAGTCATAGAACTGTCGGATACATGAGGAAATAAGCACGCAATCCACAGTAATGAACCAAGTTAACTCAGAACCATGTCCGTCGTACGTTCACATTAATAAGGTGGAGATAAAGGGAAGGCAAAGTAATGAATGCGCAAGATGTGGAAGGACCGATCACAAGAATCGAAAGTTAAGTGTCACCGCTGTGAGTTAGTGGGGCATTTTGCTACCAAATGCAGAACGAGAACCACTAAGCGACCTGCTAGGCTTGAACCAAAAGGAAATACGAAGAGTTGGCGGAATGCAGTAAATCGAGCGGATGACCTCTCACAAGAGTGAGAAGAGGACCGAGAAGTAGAAATCGAGAGGTTTGATTGTTTTAAGGTGGTCGAGTGGTAGACAATTCAGCAGTCAAAGATGGGCTAATTGAATGCATCGTGGGGGAGGTGTTAAAATAACCATGCTCATCGATTCCGGGTCAAAAGTGAACGTTAGATTGGAAAAAGTTGACGCGAAATAAAACTGTAGTCTGGAAATTGAGCCTAAGTAGTGAGAAAACGTTGAAACCTTACGCTTCTGGAATGTTACTAGTCGATCACAAATTTCGGTCCACAATCACAGTAGGAACAAGGCAAGAAATAATTGCGGATTTCTTTGTTATCGAAGGAGGAGACATCTGTAGTAGGAAAAGACACCGCTCTTCGACTGGGAATACTGAAGATGGGTTTGAACGTAAATGCTTTAGTGGAAAACACGTCGTTTCTGAAAATCAAAAACGTGTTAGTTAAGCTTACCATAGACCCGAGAATAAAACCGGTTCGACAACCTCTTCGAAAGGTACCAATCACGGTGGAAGAAGCAGTAGAACAGAAATTGGACGAGACTTTAGCTAAAGGAATAATTGAGAAGGTCCGTGAACCTAGCGAATAGGTGTCCCCAATAGTAGTAATTTTCAAGTCGGGTGGCGACATCCGTATTTGTATTGATATGCAGAGGGCAAATATGAAGCTATTCGGCGGGAAAATTATCCCTTACCAACCTTTGATGGGTTTGTAACTAAACTGAGAAACGCGCGGTTCTTCTCAAAGTTGGACCTGCTTAACGCATACCACCAGGTGGAATTAGATGAAGAAAGTCGCCCAACAACGACATGTATTACACACAAGGAAATGTTTAAATATACACGTTTGTTGTTTGGGGTCAATTCGGCTCCAGAAATTTTTCAGCGTATTATTGAGGCCATATTTGCAGAGTGTGAAGGATGTTTAAACTGCATAGATGACATTATTATTTACGGAGGTACCGAGGAAGAGCATGACAAATCTGTCAAAGGTGCTGAAAACATTAAAGGAAAATAACGCCGTTCTTAATGACAACAAATGTTTATTCAAAGTCCAAAACTAGGAGTTTTTAGGCCACAAGCTGTCAGTAAATGGAATCGAGGCAGCAGACAGCAAAGTAAAAACTATCCTTGAATTTCGATCCCTAACACTAAGGAAGAAGTCAGGAGTTTTCTGGGTCTTGTGACGTATATGGGGAAATTTGTTCCTGATCTTGGTATTCATTCTTGGATTCATTGATTGAGACAAATCATAAAGCAAGACGTCAAATTCATTTGGACATCGACGCATCAAAAAGCATTCGACAAGTTAAAACGAATGCTGGCTAAACTACCAGCGCTGAACTAGAGACGGATCATAAACCCCTAGAAGTAATTTTCAAACCGTCTTCAAAGCCGCCCGCCAGGATTGAAAGGTGGGTGCTACGCTTACAAGCGTTCAAATTCAAAATCATTTATCTACCTTCGAAACAAAACATTGCAGACTGTGTGTCTCAGCTGTGCCCATCCTATTCCAAAGAACCTTTCGAGGTTGGGAGCGAATACCATATACATATACCGTCATAGAGGCGGCAACACCAAAAGCGGTGATTCAAAGATATTTAACGAAAGCAAGAACGATGAACTTTGCGAGGAAATCGTATTATCATACCTAACACCGTTAGACACACAGATTTTGAATTTGGCTCACGAGGGCCACCAGGGAGAAACAGCTATGAAACGACGATTACGGGCAAAAGTGTGGTGGCCACAAATTTATCGAGAAGCTGAGAAAATTGTGAAAACTTGTTTGGATTGTCTCCAGTGTCCACCAATGACGAGACATAAGTTCCCGAACGGGCCGTGGCAACATATTGCTATCGATTTGATGAAGGCTGGTCCTATATCTGAAAAGATACTGGTCGTGATCGATTATTTTTCGCACTACCAAGAGATCAAATTTCTCAAGTCTCCTTCGGCAGCCACCATTATCGCGCATCTACAGGAAATGTTTTCTCGACTTGGAATACCGAATTCGATACGAGCTGACAACGGGCCCCAGTTCGCAAGAAAGGAATTTCACTTGTTTTGTGAGGGAAGCAATATTGAGTTTATTCACACAACACCTTATTGGCCGCAGGCCAATGGGGAAGTGGAAAATCTAAACCGATCAATCTTAAAACTATTGAAAATAAGCCATACTGCAGGAAAAGACTACAAAGCTGAACTGCAGGAATTTACTCTGATGTACATATAATACGGCATCGCATAGTACTACCACAGGTAAATAAATCCCCGTCGGAGCTTCTCTACGGCAGAAATATTAGAGACAAAATCCCAACTATCTACGATTTATACAGTGAGCTGACGGAGACGGATGAAGAAGCCTATGATCGAAACCTGCTAAATAAACAAAAAGGAAAGGACCTGGAAGACCGGACAAAGGGCGCGCGAGAAATTGACATAAATGTTGGAGATCCAGCTTTAGTCAAGAATGTTGTCGTTCCCCATCAACTGATTCCGACTTTTAGTAAGGACACTTAAAAAGTTCAACAACGGTCCGGAAATGAGTTGGTTCTGGAGGGAGCAGGGCGCGTTATTCGACGACACGTCAGCCACGTTAAGATAAATCTTAGATACATCTTTTCAGCAGCCTGCCGCGGGCCCGGAGACATCCAACAATTCGAAACGTTTACAGGATTTGGAGGACGGTTCGATAACACAGAAGGTAGCACGTCCCTCGAGCCATCTGAAATCCCGAAGGTAGTGAATACACTCAGATTGGAAAGAAAGGGAGGAATGTGGAGACCCGCAGTGGATGCGGATCGGAACGAGAAAGAAGAGTAGGCGTTTGTCATGAGATAGAGAACTGTCATGGAACTGTCTATGAGTTAGATGTGTTTGTTGGAGTTGAAATAAAAAGCGTATTTTCAAATAGTGGTGTTTTACTGGGTTATTACAGTATTTAAATCTTCTATATTTTGGTGCATTCAAACAATGCTGCGATTAAAAAGTGGAACAGATTTGGAAGCATACCCTAAATTACGCGCGTTTGTGAAAGCTTCAACCAAAGGATAGGTACAAAAGCCAAAGAAATGTTCTGCATTTACAGAAAGCGACCTATTTCATCCAGATGACAGTTTCAAAAGTCATACTTGAAGTATCGTTACTTAGCAACTTTAAAGCACGTGTGTTTTAAAGGCCCTTTTTCTATTTTGCGTTGTTTATAGCTCCATTACCGCACGCAATCGCGTATCGTTCTAGCCATTAACGCACCGCATAGATTTTGTTTTCAACTGTTGGTAACATTGCAAATGCTAATAGTCGATGGTTTTTATTCCTAACATTGAGTTTGGGAGGGAACCAAATGCCGGCCAGACGTAGACCACGGGAGCCAAAAGTGGCCTCTAACTGTGATTAAAGTACCACACCACTTCCGTTATCATTAGCGTCTCACTTCAGTGGCGTAGAGATATAATTTTCTTTGCACTAATAGGAATAATACAAAAAAAACGTATAGAAGGAGTAAAATACATGCTCGTGGTAAAGTAAACAAAATAGACAAGGATGGGAAAGTAAGTATATATGCAGGTTTAATATAATCATTGATTACAAATCTAAATATACATCAATGTGTTCCATTAGTATAATTAAGGCCAGTTTACTATAGCCACTACAACTCCCATTAAATTCACTGTGTTGATCAATAGCTACAATTGATTGGTTGATCTCAAGTTCATTACAAGTTTTGATAGTACCTACTTACTGCATATTTGACGAGATATTTTATGAACATTTTCCTGTGCAACCTTTGGTCGAAATCACAGTCAGTGAAGCGTTGTGAGCACAAAAGTAAATTTACAAATGTTAGGTAACCATTTTGCTCGAAGTACTGGTTCGTTTGGAAAACTAAGAAACCATTGAATAAATAGTGTTTTTGCGCGATCGGTCATTTCTGACTATTTACCATAGGTGTTTCCATGACAGTACGTAGAATTTACCAGTTGCTATGATTACGACGACGCCAAAATTACTTACCGATCTAAAAACAGAACAGCAAAAATACTTACCGACGCCTTTTTAAAAATCAACAGTCTTACATTACATTTAATCTTTAATTATTATTAGGTACATTAAACGTAAAATTTGTGCCGTTGTTTCCTATAGCAAGACGCTCATAAAGTCCTAAAGGAAGTGCAAAGCTAGTAAACTACATCAGACACATGCACATTTTTATGAAATTATTAATTTCAATTTTGACATTTAAACTGGTTGCCTAGTGATGTACACCAGACCACTTCGATCATTTCGATTTATTCTGCTCGTTAATTTCTTAGTGCGTGGTTATATTGGTTGGATAATTTTAATTTCGATCGCGCAAAAAATGTTATAAGCACGTCGAACGTTAAGGGTTACCGTTCTCAGACAATAATTGGAGTCGTCGCTTCGCTCCTCCTCCAAACAATTGTCTTCGAACGGTAAAAATCCCTTACCGTTCTCCATACTTAATATACTATTTTATTCAATGTAAGAAACATAAAGTAGGTACCTACAACCTCGCCTACAACATGATAAATGACATGTCTTACCGATGAAAGGAAATGCCCTGTTTCTTCCCTTTATAAGAAATTTTGCATGATACGCAGCTAATCATTCTCAATTCACAAAATTGCGTGTGATAAAAACACTATGCGGCAGTTAGTTATTTATATAAACCAGAGCACAAACCGATCCGAAATTATTAGGTACTTTAAAATGGCAAATTTTATAAAATTTGAATTTGGTGGAAAACTGACAGTGACAGGACCCGCGTTTTCATATGTCAAATAATGTCGGCCAAAATGTACCTTCACGGGAACTTATCCAGGCGAGTGGCCTCTATCTGTGGCAACTTCTTAGACCATATAGTACTATATGGTCTAAGGGCAACTTCCGTCTACAAAAATTCTTACCCCCTCTACCATTATATTGCCTCCATTAGTTTTCTAACTCAATGATTCCTAATGTGTACATAACATAACCAAACTTTTCTAACTAAAATTGCACAACGAAAGCTTTAATCATAATAAAGTAAATACAACAAACTTAGATTTCGTCCTTATCTGCGTAAGTAAATGTACAATTATTGTACACTTTGACGGTAACAGCTCCATCATGTGTATTGACTTTGATACCAGGTAAATTGTGGGTTATGATGTTGTGTTCGGCACTATTTATATTTCCTTCAACTATAGCACTGGGAACGGCACTTTCTACATGTGTTGATGTACATCCTTGTGCAAGAATCCCATGTAATGATGAGGATGATTTACTTGCTTGGGCAAGAGTTCCTGCAACTTCCACTTTTCGTTGAACCTACGTTTCAATATATCCTTCGGCAACCGCGGAGGACTTCCACCCGCCATGTCGTTTAATGGTGACCAAGTCACTACCGCTGTTAGCTAAATGTGAGACACTTGAACGCCGGAAACAGTGCCCAGTGTATTGTGCCGGATTGGCTAATTGTAGAAACTCTGCAATCTTTCGTGGCGTCTTGCCCATTGTATTGATTCCGATCGAAGTAGTAATGCAGCGACCACTACGGTATGTTACAAAGAATCGTTGATGGCAAGTATTAACTGGGCGTATGCTGCTATATTTTTTTATAATATCAATCCACAATTTCTCGGTGATGACAAACTGTCTCATTACATTTGTTTTTGTTTTAGGCACCGACAACAATATCATTTTTATATTGGATGTCGCCCAGTGCCATATTAGTCAGCTCCTCGCGTCTGCATGCCCCACTGTAGCCCATTATTAAAATAACCTACAACGAGAATACAAACAAGATTCTCCTGTAGCTAGTACCTACCCACTAGAACAAAAAATTCTACTTACTTTTGTATCTAAATAATGCTTGTCGTCAGCCTCCTGAATAAATCGATTAATTTGCTCTAAATCTAAAATTTTTGATTTTTTTGGCTCATAGCCTTGCGAAAATCTTTTTAGCAGTGCTTGTAACTTGACGTATCTTGATATATCTACATTTTTATGCACATTTAGGTAGGATCGTAGCATCGAGTACATTGACCATAATGACGATGGCTTTTTCAAATGAGTTTGTAATTCAAAATATGCTAATAAAACATTCTCCGAAATGTGTTGGGCTTTATTTTCTTTACACCACTGGTCAAATTTAAGGGATTCCTTTTCATATTTTAGTTTCGATTTCTGCGGAAGCAAATTATCTACGGTACTGTTTGCTATTTCCCGCAATTCAGGTGGCGTGCAAGTTATGATTTCGTGCTGCTCTTCCATTTCTATTTCACAAAAATTACAGTACCAAATGGCAATTCGCTATATCTGCGCAAAAATTGAAACTTCAAAATTTTCAATTTGAAAAAGCGAACCAGTGCTACCAACTTAACATTTACAACTAATGTGAAGTAGTACAGAATGTTGAACTATTTTTAGTTTTTTACAATAGAAATCACGCGAAATAGAAAAAGTAGTATAAATAACTCGTTTCATAAGCCGTTTTATCGCACTTGTCCTTTGGAAAACTCGCCGCTACGCGGCTCGTTTTCCAGACTGGACACGTGCGATAAAACAGCTACTTATGAAACTTGTTCTTTAATATACTATTTTCGCACGCATTTGAGTGTTTAAAACGGAGATTGTGATTCAGGTATAATAAAAAATGATTTCCAAGCGCGCGAAAAACTTATCTTTAAATAATTTAAAAGTTTTTGTGTTTAGGATTGTGAAATTTTGTATACTGGTGTTTTTTATGTTCCGCATTGATTTATCACATAAATAAAAAAATGAAAGTGGCCCATTTCCGCCACGTTGCGAATATTACGCACATTTATCGGGCTGGAATGTCAAATCACAGTTACGAATTCCACAAATTCATTGCATGTTTTTGCTTGTAAGTTGTAAAGTAAGCAACTACCCTTTGTATAATATGTAGGTACTTTATACAGGGTGTAACATCCCCCTCGGATCGTAATGCCTTTACCATAAAAGATATCGGGAAAAAATGTTTCTAAAATATTTCTGGTCACTACTGGCGTGCTGTATTTCACTAGCGTATCAAACATCCGTATTTTTTCAAATGGAACACCCCATATTTTATTTAGAAATTGAAAAGTACTGTAGAGCACTTTTTCATTTTTTTATGTAACATAGCATACCCTTAACTTTACCCATTTCACTATTATAACCTTTTCTTCTCAAAATTTGACCGTTTTTCGAATCTATATTTTCCAGAGAAACTAAACCACGCCGGCGCTTAAATTTTGAATTCAGGCACATACCTGGTGAATATTTCAAAACCGAACATAAACAATTAACATGTTAAACAATTTAAGTGTTTTTTGGAGATTGTTGCTCAACTGCTCCACATGTAGGTTAACTTCCGACTTTCGAGGGTTTATGATGACCCCATGCAATCGAAAGAAGATTTTTTCTCATCTAATGAAATGCGAATTTGTTCATTTTCACGTGTATTTCTCATAATTTCATAAAAAATTCAACAAAATTAGCAATTAGCAAATCATGTTAAGCCATGACTCAAATGGAAATTTTCTAAAGAATTGAATAACATTTGAATCTACTTTTTGTATTACTAATAGTCATAGCTTACATGATTTTGGTAATTGCATTTATTTCCAAATTTTTGATGAAATAGTGGGAAATTTCAACCGAAAATGAATTCGTATGTCATTAGATGAGAAAACCATCTTTCTTTCGATTGGTGTCACGTGTCATTATAAGCCGTTTAAGTTAACATGGGGAGCACAATCTACAAAAAACATTTTTCCCATGTTAATTGCCTATGTTCGGGTCGGATTTTTAAAATGACGGCATCAAATTTTTTTTAAATAATTTATTTTAATAAATTCTTCGTAAGACCTTCTGTCAGGTTTTATGACAAAAAAACTGTGAAAAAAGTGTCAAAAACAAAAAGCTAAAATATTTTTTTTTGGCAAAACGGTTATTTTTATTTCGTTAAAATTTTGGCAGACCACATTAGACATAAAAGATGTAAGACTGTCAACAACTTTTTAGCTTCCTAGTACGAGCTTTTTTATTTTGTTTTAAATTTAATTCCAGGACCCTCTAGACTTCTTTTTTTCCACTAGGTATATGTTACCTAGATACAAAATACAAAGTATCTGTATCTGTATCTAGATACACTGAGACAAAAGTATCTAAAAATGTATCTAGATATAATTTTTTTAATGCATCTGTATTTGAATTAGATACCCAAATAAATATCTGTTACAACCCTGCTCTATGGTAAGTAAAGTGGCGCGGAACATTTTTTAAAAATTTATGCACATTTAAGTCTTCTTACTATTTCCGGAACTTTCCTTTATATTTAAAAATTATGAGTGTAATATTTTTGTAAAACACTAATTAACATTAAAAAGTAACTGAAATTCTAATATTTCACAAACATCTCAAGAAAAGTTGCCATTAATGCTTCTGTTTCATAGCCACCTTACTTGTTTGTGTAATTTTGCTTTCACTCAAAGAAAAAGAGAGGTAAAATTAACCAAAAAGAGCATATAAAAAGGCGTCATACATCTACTTTGGTATATTTTACTGCTTCAAAATGGTTAACATACTGTTATCATATTGACTGTTGAAATGACTGCAAACAAAGTTATCGTACCAATTATACTGGTACTTGACAAGAACATTTGTAGGTATACTGTAAAAAGTGCTTGAGGAACTAATATTTGGGTTCATTAACAATGTTCTCGTTTTTTCAACAATTTTGTAGTTGTGTAACGATGACACTGTGTTTCAACTATACTTTAGTTAATTAACTGACTAAATGGTCTATTATAACAAAGTTAGCAGTTGCTTTGACCATGCATTTTTTGTCCGTCTGTCTGATTACAAAAAAAACTTTTCTAGAATAATTGCTCTTTATTTTGGAATAATCATTATAAGTACACAGAAAATACAAAATACAAATAAACAGTTACCACTGTGGTAAATAGAATACTTAAATATAAGATTAGTATGTAAATTAACATAAATACACTTCATTATAAATGCTAAATATGATTAGGAACTAAAGAGCTCTTGTTGTGTTAAAAATATTTTGGCCGAACATAGGTTTTACCATTTGGCGACATATAAGTGTGAAGTGGTGAATAATAATCAAAATGAGAAGGAGAAAACATAAAAAAAGTGTCAGTGGATTCTGTAGTAGGTAACAAATATGATTGAAAATGATTGCAAAAATTTCCAAGTTTGTACTGTGAACATACGAAGTATATATTTTCGTTACTTGTAAGAACAATATCCACAATTCTATATAACTGCAGTTTTTTTGTTAACAAGTAATAGTCAATAGCATATTGAGTTCCTTTATATATGATGTCTTTTTTAAATGTCATAATATCATCGCCTATAATATTGACTGCATCTAAATTGAGATTTTTATAATAAAATTGATCCCGGAGATTTTGCTGTTTAGTGGATTTTGAATTATATGCTATAATATTCTTGAAACCATTATTATTTAACAAACGATAAGAAAATTTTAAAGAACATTTAATGCCAATGGTATAAGGGATATTTTTACGGGAATTCGTATTATTTGTGTACATTTTTAGCTCGCGGTGTTTTGATTCAAAACGGAAACACCAGATATACTTGAGAGGACCTATTTTTTTTATAATTGTTGGATAATGCAGAAGGAAATGAAATTTTGGTTTTAGGGTATTTCCAAACAGTTTCACATACTGCAGATGGTGTTGTTCAATTTTCAATGTCATTAATTTTAAATCTGTGTCATTAAATTCGGTCATTAATATTAAATCAATCATTTCTAATAAAAGACGTAATAATTTCCAGTATTTGTTATTAATGGGAACTAAATCACCGATGATAAGAGGAAGGAAGTGACAAAATGTCCACATCTCCCTGGCCGACATATGCAGCTTTAAGTTAGTTAAATGATTTATTTTTATAGGAGGGGAAATGTTTCCAATTTCTGTTTTACCATAATTAAATAGTTGTTTTCGACTATTCAATATTTTTAGTGAAAATAGATGATCCTTTTCAATCAGGTGGGTTAGAATTTGGCATACATCATAATGACAGACTCCTTCAAAGAGGTCATGCATTATGTCGACGGCATAGTTATTCACGACATGGAATGAATCAATGGTATTGAAAATTGAAATTTCCCGTATACCACTCTGTTTAGCCCTATTTTTTACTTCAATTTCATTCGAAATATCTTGTTGATAATTTTCAATGGTTCTAAATTTTGAAAGATTTTCTTGACAGTCGGATTTAATTTCACTTTGATTACACTTACAAAATCTGCATGGAAAATTAGCGCTGAAACTTTTCGTAAACCCTAATATGGAATTCAGCCCCAAATTGTCTCCAACAATAGCCATCAAAATATAATGAATCTGATGACCATGTACCATTAAGCCATCTTTTTCTAGTAACTGTATTTCTTTAATTAGTAAATTCAGGGTTGCATCGTTTCCGTAACACTTATCAGTAGATTTAAATAACAGAGCTGTAAAAATATTTTCTAATGATGAAACATGGTGCTGTGGTAGTGTTGGGAAACTGTAATAAAATGCAGCAATTGACTGACTGCCAGCATGTGAACCAAGCGCATTATTTATTTCAAAATCATCAAAATACAGAATGTATGGAATCAAAGTCTTATTTTCAAATTTTGCCTTTTTTTGTTTCCAAATTTCTCCATTTATTATATTATGTATTGTAGATTTTTGTGCAAGGTTTGTCATGTTTTCAATAGTGTCTTTCAATACGTTTGGCAACTCAAAAAATTTTTGAAATTGAAACTGTAGTGGCATTAAAGCGCCTTTGCTTGATTTAGAATCTAAACAGGGTGTACTATTGAGAATTATATGATCAACTTCATTATTGGTTTCAAAAATTTTTGGTTCTCGATAGAGGTCCCGATTTTGAAGACTTTTTGTGTACTTGTGATAAGTATTAAAATTGCAAAACGGATCCAGGCAGAAAGCCAGAAGTTTATCTATTTCACCATTATTATTATTCGTCGTATTAAAAATGTTACTCAGTTCAGTAATAATCGTACCCAACAAATTGTTAGTAATGTCGTTAATAAGTTGGTCGACATCTTTTCGGGCATAATTTGATTTACTGTAAAGTTTAGTAACAAATATTAAAGCAGTGGCTTCAATGTTCTTTAAAGCTGATGCTAAGTCATATCGAACATTTTCTCTTTCCGAGTTACCTACAGAAGAATCCGTGTTATTTTCATGTTGACTATATGATTTTTCTAATCGATTTATTGTATCTGACGATTTATTTATACATGATTTATTATTACCTTTAAAGTGTCTTTTGAATGCTTTTAAAGATTGATAAGTATGACAACAGTCAAGGCA